TCTGTTCACGAATGTTCCGATCGGTGAAACAATTGATTATTTATGCACCTATATCGAAAGTAACGGAATTGACGTAGCTCTACCGACAGATGACCTTAAAGAATTATTATTCTTCTGTACTCACAATGTGCAATTCAATTTCAATGAGGAAATCTATCGCCAGAAGGACAGTGTAGCAATGGGATCCCCTCTAAGGCCCGTGTTTGCCGATTTGTTCATGTCTAAAATAGAAAACAGTCCACTTAAAACACATATCAAACAGTGCGTACTGTATAAACGTTACGTAGACGATATTTTGTGCGTGGTAGATTCTACAACGGAGTGTCAAAATATACTAGATCATTTCAATGCTACGCATCGAAATTTGAAATTCACGATTCAAAATGAAGCAAACAATCAACTAGCATATTTAGATGTCTGCCTAACTCGCTGTGATGACGGATCCATCAGGCGGTCAGTACACAGGAAGGCGACTTGGAATGGGCAGTACATTCATTTCCGTAGCTTTGTACCACTCAGTATAAAGAAGAATCTCATACTTTGTTTGGTCAATAGAGCTAGAAAAATTTGCACGCAGGACGTGCTGGTTGAAGAACTGATGCATGCTCGGGAGTGAGAAGTGACTTTTGTTTCGAAGGTGTTATTCGGTATTGACGCTCCAAGTCGACCAGTTTCGCTTTTATCCACGACTCCGCATCTTTTGAACCCCGACTGACGTTGTGTCAGATCGATGATGCCAAAGAAAGACTTTTAGCGTTACAAACCACTTTTATTGATCAAGTGGCCATTATGGACGATTTGAACCTTTTCTACCGAATCAAGTATGCTAACTTCTGTGCTGATACTGTCCGGAAAACAAAATTGAGTACTATAACAAAGCTCCAGATATCTCTACTGCATAGACTAGCGGAAAATCGGTTCCCGAACCAACCCGAAAAATTAGTTAAGAATCTGTCATCGGTCGAACTGAATGAGCTCCGACTGCAAGCACTTTCGTGTGGCCTTCGCTTTTGTGTAGCTCCTAAGAAAATCAACAGTATTGATTCACAGGCTCAGTTTGAATATTTTTTCGAACAACTTAAAATGCTTAAAGCAACTTCAAAAGACGCGGAGTCGTGGATAAAAGCGAAACTGGTCGACTTGGAGCGTCAGTACCGAACAACACCTTCGAAACAAAAGTCACTTCTCACTCCCGAGCATGTATCAGCTTTACAGAAGTTAAGGGAAAAGTCCGACTTGATCATTTTACATCCTGACAAAGGATCCGTGGCTGTTCTAATGGCCGTGCAGATTACCAAAGAAAGATGGACTGCATCCTCAACGACCCTAGCAAGTTGTTACGAGAAAAGACATGTGACGAACCAACAGAGCTGGAGCATAAAATTGTCTCTGAAGTTCAGTTCTTATTGGAGGGACATTTCATTGATGAGAACACTGCCCGAGCTCTGAAATCTAGAGGAACTCATATTCCACAACTTTATGGCCTGCTAAAACTCCATAAGCCTGGCGTACCACTCAGGCCAATCCTGTCCATGACGAACTCACCACAGCACAAAATGGCCAAATGGCTGGTCAAGATGTTGGAACCAGTCCACAGATCAATGGTGAAACATACCGTCAAGGACAGTTTCGAATTGGTGGATGTTTTGGACAAGATAAACGTCAAAGGAGAACGCATGGCTTCATTCGATTTCCAATCCCTATTTAATAATGTACTAATGTTCGCGAAGTCGTGAAAATTATTTGCAGTCATATAGAGAATAATCAAATCCGAGTGAAACTACCAGTGTCAGTGCTTGAGCGTTTATTGCTACTCTGCCAAACCAATGTGTCTTTCACGTTTCAAGGAAATGTGTACAGGCAAATTGATGGTGTCGCTATGGGAAGCCCGTTAGGCCCGGTCCTGGCAGACCTGTTTACGGCACATCTCGAACAGAAGGCAAATAACATTGTAGAACGTGTAATCCTGTACAAACGATACGTCGACGACACACATGTGATAACAGAAAGCCTAGAAGAAGCTACAGTAATTTTGGATGAACTTAATAGATTACATCCAAATATTCGCTTCTCAATGGAATCCGAAGCCAACAACACACTCAATTTCCTCGACATCTGCATGAGGCGAAGAGAAGACGGAATGATCGCCCGATCCGTTTACCGAAAGATGACCTGGACAGGCCAATATTTACACTTCGAGAGCTTTGTGCCCCATAGAGTGTAAACACGGTCTTGTTCGGACTCTATTCAACAGAACGAGACGGATCTGCACGGTGGAGAAAAATTGAACAGGAACTAGAAACCCTTCGGGAGCTGTTAGCAGAAAACGCTTACCCCGAAGCGTTCGTCAAAAAACATCAAACGAGGAGCTGTAAAAGAAACGATTCATCAGCCCTAAAATTAGGAGTCACGTTGTGCCTCCAATTCAAGGGTAATGATGTAGACAGTTTGTGCAAAAAACGACTGAGATCGGCAATCGCTCGAACCTACTATGCAGCGGACTACGAAATCCTCTATCGGACAGTTAGAATACTCACACCCCAGGTGAAAGAACGTCTTCCTCTGGACGCCAACTCTAATCTGATTGACGAATTCCAATATGGGTGCGGATCGACTTGCGTGGGCAGAACAGAGCGACAGTTAGGCAACCGGGTGGTTGAACATATTCCAAATTGGGTTCAAAGTCAGATGACACAATCTGGGTCAGTTCCGCGGCATAGAAACAACGGTCGAAACTACAAGACTCCGTCATCAGCCATAGCTCGACATCTTCTGATGACGCAACACCAGATCGACCGAAGCATGGCGTTTCGGATTATCTACAAGTCACGAATCGCAAGATTGCTACGGTTTGCAGAAGCGATTGCTATCATGTTTTGGATGCAACGAAATCGTTCTGGATATAAATCGTGCAGTTTTGCAATTTTCTCTTTTCTTTCGATGGTATTTTTATTCCTATTCTCATTGTTATCATTATTATTCTTCTTGTTGTTGTTGTTGTTGTTGTTTGTCTCGGCTGATCGGATCTTTCGCTTGGTCTGTGTTACCTATGTGATCTGGAGTGGAATGGAGAGGAATAGTTGGAGTGACATCATTTGTTTCCCCTTTTTCTGTATAAAATGAGACGTGTTAGCCAGTTGATAAGTCGCCGAAAATAATCTTGTTCAGCAAAGTGCGTTTTCATTCAATGAGTGCCGCTGGTATATTCCGGGCAAGACCCGGGGGTATTTGGAGCTAGTTGGAGCTAGCGGTAACAGTTTCTCCATAAAGATTGGTATGAATGAAACGGTCGATGACCATTACGCTAACAGCTCTGCATGTTCCTCTCAAGGGGTGTGTTAGAGAATGCTACACGGCTGTGTAAAGTGGGTAAAAGCAGACTTACTTCATTTGTGCGATTAGGAAAATTTATCCTAGGCTCGCCGGGTTGTCGTACGTGTGAATGAATGCAAATAAGCAGTCCTTGTCCCCAAAGTATGAATCAGTTTATTTGACTGATCCCTCATTAAGTAAATGCTGCGTGGTTGGCCTGTTCTATTCGATATTGGAATGCGTTTGTACCCCGCAAGATTGGAATCCTTTTTCCAAGTAAGCTTTCGATACACAGCTATTTGGAGTTTTTCCTAGGCTAACCAATTGAATAGTACGTCCAAAAGCGGTAGTTTGAACTCAGATTTATATTCTGGCTATGGTCCGATTACAACAGGTACCCTACCTGATCCGATATTACAATCCGCGTTCACCGGACTGCCTTTATTTTCTTCGTTTTTTCATTTCATCAAAACAGAAAGAAGACAAATGTCGCTAGATGCTAACACTTCGTTTAATCTTCTCAGTTGCTTATTTAAGAGGTGTATAGCTATTTACAGGAGACCATTTCCAAAAGTTAACCCACCCCAAAATGTCAGTAACAAGGCCATCCACATCAAGCTTGCGTTCAAAGATGACCACATTTGCAATGATGTACGTCAGAAGTTGAGATCCGCTCTAGATCTCGTGCATTCCCAGCTGCTCACCTCAAACTCATCACCTCCACTCGTGGAATCGATTTGGACAAACGTCAACATGGCTGTCAAACCAGTTCCGTCTCACACACTGTACTCAAGTTCACCTGCAGTTGCGGTGATGCATACGTAGGCAGAACAAACCGTCAGGTTTCATAACGGATGGCCGAACATATTCCGAAATGGCTGGTGAAATCGATACAACCGTTACTTGATGGTCACGTGATCATAAGCAATCCAGGGTCATCTGCTGCAAATCATCTCATGAAAACCAGACACAGTTGACCCTAATTCGTCCTTGAAACCATTGTTACGTAGTCGTAATGTTAAACGTTTGGTAATTGGTGAATCGCTGCTTATTCGATTACATCACCCGATCTGGTGCGCACAAAGTTTTTGATACAATCAATCCACTAACCGTGGAGTTGACCTTTTACTTCGGAATTTAGTAATCTTTGTATGCTTGTACACGTTCATTCACCATAAATAAATAGCCCCATGTGTTATATATATAATTGTTTGTTTTAAGTCAGCGACTGAGAAGATTAAACGAAATGTTAACATCTGGTAAAATTTGTCTTCCTTATGTTTGATCAAAGGGAACTCAGTGATTCAAATTATATTTTTTAATCAGATTTTATCACACAATTTGAAGTTCTCCCAGGTCCCAGTTACCACACACCTCATTACGTTAATCTCCTCATCATCATCGCCATCATGAAATGATTTTGTATATATGCTTTTGCAGCTGAACGAGATCACACGCGAAATTGATGACCAATATGAATTCTTTCAACCTTTAGATCTATCAGCAAACTACCGCACCGATTTGTACATCATTTTGTTTTTATTTGAACAATGAGATCACTCTATTCATCATCACATGTCCCAAATTTAGTTCAGTGGCAGTGAAGATCACCGAAAAAATGGATTGAAATAAACACGAATCAATTGACGCATTGATAAAAACAATTCGGAGCACATTCTCAGAGGTTCTGTACATGAAAACTGCTCTCTCTCTCTCTCAATGTCATCGTGAGTTACAATCATTCAGCAGTATATCCACCACTCTCTGAGACTGTCAGATTGATGGCTACTTGATCACATGACTCAGTCTAATGCAACCCTGTGCTACGGACCGATTACACGAAAATATTTCGGATCTCTATTGACACAGTGTATCTGTGGAGGTATTTTTGTCAGCAATGTTTTCCCGTCACAAGCTTGAATAAAGAAGTCAGAAACATGGGTTTTCCTAATGTACCCATGGTCATTTCGCTGCATCTGTACACGTGCACATACTGCAGTCAAAGTAATTTTTATGTAGTCAGTGAGATAGCTGCTGTGAACTGAAGATATGATTGCTAATCACAACGCACAATACGACACAGTAATACAAAGAACGGCAAAGCAAATGTGACCAACCAATCACGTTGTTTGCATCGGATCTGAGGGTACGAATGGCTAGAGCCTCGGTAAATTTCAGTAACTTTGTGTTTGTTATTGTGTTTTAGATGATCTGAAATGCGTGAGTTGGAGTGGCACAATGTTTTTGCTCGAATAATTGTTGTGTTATCGAAGATCTTAATCTTTTCTGCTCATTCGATGACGTAACCGGTTTGAACTTGTCGTCCATCGCTTTCCTAAGCCACCCTGGGACGTGTTCGGCCATTCGATGACGTAACGGCCTCTCTGTCCAGCCTATGTAGATGGCTGAGTATCCGCACTTGAATTGGTAAATGCAGTTTGATTTGACGGAGGGGCATTGGTTCTATCACCGATGTCGACGGTATACGGGTGATAGTGAAGACAATAACCGGGTCAACTGCGAAGTAGGTACGCTTGACGGCAGAGTTCAGAGTTAACTGATAATCTTGATCAAATTCAGTCATTTTCCTCCTCACCGGGGCTAATCTTAAACATCTATAAATGTTTGTTTGTCCACTCATCCGATCATCGAGATTACTCACGTGAGTAATCTCGATGATCGGATGAGTGGACAAACAAACATGTGATCGTGGTGAACTCGATTTCCGGTCTCACGATGAAATCGTTTGTGATTTTATTTTATTTTATTTTCCCATGACAATTTTATTCCCAAGTAGTAATACATATTGAAATGTATTGGCGTGAATACGGATCTCTGAAAACGAGCTTGTTTGCCACTCTGTTATTTTGTTTGAAATGTGCTCTGTGGGATTATTTCAACAACCAATAAATGCGCTGAGTTTTTATATAGTTTGGCTCGCTTCCCATATCCGACAGAGCCCACAGTGGTTAATAACAATCCTTTATCTGGGGTGAACTCTGTCAAATATCTTGGTGTAACCATAGGTCCCAATCTTCATTGGTCAACCTACATCCACAACTGCCTTGCTTAACTGCGGCGCCTATCACATCAAATTCAAAAGCTCGGGCAGTTTCGCGCATCCTAGTCAGTTATTT